TTTATTTTTGCTTTTTAATTGGGTGTATGGGTTTTGTGTATATTTATAGAATTATTTCTAGAGTTATAGGCACATTACCCGTGTTCGTAGTTAATATTATTGAGTTTTAGCTTTTTTTTTTTTATTATTAAGGCTTCCATTATTTTTAACCTTTTTTACATGTAGATGAGGTTTTTATGTTCATACTTTCTACTAGTATGTTTCGGATGAAGTCTGGTAAGTTTGTGTGTTTAAATTGGTTCTAATAGAGCTTTGGTCGGTTAGGTGCAATGTAAGGCGTCTGGATACGCACGTAGTAGTCTGACCAATGTAGTTATTTTTATGAGTTCGGTTTGCACAAGAAATACCCTTAAAGGGCATTTTAGCTCATAATGTTCGATCGTTCTAATTTTGATATATAAACATTTAACGATTCATAGTAGAACTTCTATTATCACAGTGTTGGGGGAGATATCTAATAACAAAAGTGATGGAAAGAAAAAGAACCTACATAAAATCTGTTAAATTTAAAAAAAAAAAAAAAAAGTTTAAAATTCGCAGCATTCATTGTTTCTGCGCATGCGTAGTACCGAGATAAAAAAAAAAAGTTTAGTGACTAGTCTGATGTCCTAAAGGACGAATCGCGTCACAAGAAAACGTTTTCCACTTTGTCATATATTTTTCCCCAAAACACAAAGATTGTATTAAAACAGAAAAATGTCGATCAGGATATTTCTGGAAGATTTTTATTTCTTTAAAGCGGGTAGTTCGAATTCCAGTCGGGTTCGTTCCATTTACTTACACACAAACACCCCTTGGAAAAGCATTAATCACTATCTTGTAAGCTATGGGTTGAATAGCAGGACAGACTGGGTTCTAAAGTCTTGGCCGTTTCAACCAGTCTATCGCAGAAAGAAACGTCAATCTACTGCGAGAAAATCTTCTGCCTAGTCAGTCGTGTCTCGAAAGAGTTTGTATCGCGTATGACACCTAAGTGACTGAAATACCGGTTCCCGTTCGATCACTACTGTTTGTGGAAGAATAAGGAAAAAAGAGAAACATTATTAATGAGCTAGAACAATAAAAGAGGAATCAAGAAGACAGTAGATAACGATTTTCATTGCATTTAAATTTTTGAAGTTCATATTTGACTGAAAAACATGGCGACAGAAGGGAGTAAAACAAGCGAGAACGGAAACTGTTAGAACTCGCGGTTACATCTAGCTAATCTAATTGTAAATTGACAGAACCTATTTGCTATTCTAGTACTCCGCTTATATTCATAAAGTCTATGTAGCATCATGAAGAGTTCGTGCGAACAATCGCCATGGAAAAAGCAAACGGAAGCTACATTACGGCAACGAGCAAACAGCTGAAGCCGAGATACCAAAACAAGTAAATTTTTAACGCACTCATATCTCTATTTAAAAAAAAAAATAGACATTGTGTGTAAAGCAGAAATAATTCAAGTTCGCTTTTCATTCGTCCGCCATTACCTTGATGTTTGTATTTTTTTTTTAAATTATGACGGGGAAAAACGTTGAGATTTGTACTAACAGTTCTTGGTGCTACTATGATATCTACCGTCCATTTTTTTTTTTTTTTTTTTTTTTACTATGGTATGCTCTCTACCGTCCATTTTCTACTATGATAGTTACCAACTGTTGGAAACAGGAAATATGTTAGAGATAGGGGTTAGGATTAAAGGTAATGACCCATGAACTGGTTATAGATTAATGCCCAGCTACCGGTTGAACGATGAGTAAACACTTGTAACTAGTTTTATATCTACCGTGAAACATTCATACGGATTATTTGCGAATTTTGACTCGGAAGCTCGGGCAGAAATGATAAAATTGTTGAGGAACCCAAGGCTCAAAGGGTTAAAAATCCTTAATTTTTATACAAAAAAAGTCATTTAATAGTGATTTTAATGTTTGTAAAACTGATTTAATCTAAAAAAAAAAAATGTCTTCCGGACATATCGTTTTTTTTTTTTTTTTTTTTTTTTTGAACAGGGTAAGATTGTAGCGATCGAGGAAGCATCCTCTTGGGAGTCTGTTCTAACCTTGAGATAGTTACAGAGGCACGGTTTATGATAATATAGTGGGCAAGATAACGGTTGACACTAGACTTGAAGAGTTTAAGATTGAAATGATCGAGGAAGCATCCTCTCGCTCTTTTCTCATTCCCATATTGTATTCATTTCTATGCTTGGCGGACTTAGATTTTTTTTTTTGTTTACAATAATGGTCTCTCTGTATAAGGCCCGAGAACTACTCGAGGTAGAGGGTTACAGAGTAAGAGGCAAGGTTTATGAGGATATGGTGGGGGAAGATAACTGTTGACCCTAGACCTGAACAGGTTAAGATGGAAATGATCGGGGATGTATTGTCTTTGGAGTCGATTTCACAAAGTCGCTGCTGGTGGGAAGAAGCTCTTCAGCAATGGAAGACGAGGGTAATGAGGGTGGTTCGTGACATAGAGGGTCTGAGTCGTCAAGGTTAGAACTGGTAGAACTAAGGAATCTCAACTTGAAGAGATTAAGATTTTAATGATCAGGGAAACATCAACGCGGGAGTCTGTTCGGCCTACACTATAGATAGCGATATGTGGCATTAAACGATACAACGAAGTTCGATCAGTACAAGGCTCGCGAACAACTCTAGGTAGAGCGATACAGAGTAAGAAGCACTGATTATGAGGATATGTGGGGAAGATAACGGTTAACCCTTGTTTTGTTTTTTTTTTTGTCTCCTTTCTTTACAATAATGTTCGCTATGTACAAGGACCGAGAACTACTCAAAGAAGAATATTACAGAGTAAGATGCACAGTTTATGTTTGGAAGATAACGTTTAAGCCCGAGACTTGAACAGCTTAAGATTGTAGTGATCGGGGAAGCATCCTCTTGGGAGTCTGTTCTAACTCGAGGTAGAAGGTTGCTGAATAAGAGGCAGTTTATGCAGATATGTGGAAGATAACGGTTGACCCTCGACTTGAACAGGTTAATATTGTAGTGATCGGGGAAGCATCCTCTTGGGAGTCTATTCTACCTGGAGGTGGAGAGTTACAGAATAAATGGCACAGTTTATGTGGATATGTAGGGAAGATAACGGTTGACCCTACACTTGAACAGCTTAAGATTGTAGTGATCGGGGAAGTATCCTCTTGGGAGTCTGCTTGTTCTACCTCGTGGTAGAGGGTTACAGAGTAAAAGGCTGACTTTATGAGGATATGTGGGGATGATAACGGTTGACCGTAAACTTGAAAAGATTAAGATTGAAATGATCGAGAAAGCATCCTCTCGCTCTTTCTATTACTGGTTCCCATATTGTATTCATGTCTATACTTGGCGGGCTTAGGAGATTTATTTTGTTTACAATAATCTTCCCTGTGTAAAAGGCCCGAGAACTACTCCAGGTAGAAAGTTGGAGTAAGAGAAGCGGTTTATGAGGATGTGTGATAGATAATGGTTAAGTCTAGACTTGAACAGGTTAAGATTGTAGCGATCGGGGAAAACATCATCTTGGGAGTCGGTTCCACGACCCAGAGGTTCGTGGGAAGATGCTGCTTGAATGGAACTTAATTTTGACCAATAGAATACAGTGGGGGTGTGGGGAAAGTTTGGACCTTACATCTCAACTAGAATCAATAGAGATAGCTGAAATTTCTGGAACACAATAAAGGAAGGAGGTTTAGACATTCTGACATAAGATATATTGAAGGTAAGTGCGACAGAGAAATGCATTAAGTAACTAATCAAACAAGCTTGTGTCAGTAGATAAGTTGTGGAAAGGCATGAACACCTACGTCCCAAACACCTACAAAAGGAAAGCAGATACATAATTAGTAGGCATCCGTTTGCCTCGCAAGATAAATGTGGCACCTTGTTTGGTTAAAATGCAGTCCTTTACAAGTAATACTGGAGTCTGTCTATATTTCTGAGATATGGTATTATGTACAGTATTTACATTAGTCGGACTATTGTCCTCATCTTTGTCGCCATATTTGTCACAACGTTTCGGCCGTTGTACGCTCCGGCCTTCTTCAGGTGGTTGGAATTTCGAACTGAACCCTTTATTTCAATCACTGGGGTAGACTATTCTAGTTCCACGTGCCATGTTTGATGGATGTCAGTTATCAGTTATCTCCTGCTAATTTTCCCTCTGAAAGTTCTCCACTGCCAACGTTGGTTAGATCCAGTGACAGACCCAAAGAAGGTGAGTTCAATACCTGGTTAAGGCATCAATTCTTTTTATTTTATCAAATCAAAATTAAATTCCCCAGGGTGGTAGCACCTGTTAGGGTCCCAACAAATAGTGAACCCATAAATTGGGGTCAAAACATGAAAATATAAAAAATTCCAAGCAATGCATCTTTATAGTAAAAAAAATAAAATAAAATAACAGCGATACATTTGGGGGGGGGCGGAAGAAATAGAAAAACAGAAAACAAAAAAAAATAGAAATTACCAAATATTCCAATAAGATAAAATTTCGATATTAAATGACCCATAAGGAGTTGATCTGCCGTTAAGGGAAATCAAAACGAAACTGGTAGATTGCCATTTAGGTCATATGACACCAGTCTCATGATCTTTTCCTCGACGTCAGCAAATTCTTGTCATCTGTGTCGTGCCAAACAGGTATAAATTCCTTTTTTTTTTTTTTCTTTCTATCTTAATACTTGTTGGCCAGTCTCTTACAATGCCTCGACACTGTGTTACCCCCTCCCCATCCCCCCCTCTTGAAAAGTGCATAACTGTTGCATCGATTCTTAGTTGTCGCTGAGTGCCTTGAGCTTGTGATCTTCGGCCGGGCCATGTGTGATGGTTTCAGAGTTCGAAATGCCAAAATACATAAGAAAATACAAAAGTCGTTAAGAAATGTCTTCGCTATTCTGCAGTAGATTTCTCTTGATATTTCTTCGGCATTTGTTAGCTGTCAATGCGTAAGGGTAGCGTTAAGCGACACCCCCGCCTAGAATCGAGGGAGGGGATTGTTTTCTTCATCGTAGCTGAATGGGCTTTAACCTTTACTTTAATTTAACTGTTTCTCTCTCTTTCTCTCTCGCTTTCTCTCTCTCTCTCTCTCTACCATGTTCCCCTCTTTCGTTCGTTCTCCGCGTCTCTCTTTCGTTCCTATTTTAAATCGTTATCACTTCTTCCAGTTGCCTTCTCTCTATTACTTAAGTTTTGTGTTTCAAATACACGTACCAAGAATTTTTTTTTCTTTTTTCCTTTATTTTTCTTTTTCCTTTATATTTTCTCTTCTTTTTCCTTTGTTTTTTCTTTTTCCTTTCATTTTTCTTCTTTTCTCTTTTTCTTCTTTTTCTCTTTTTCTTCTTTTTCTCTTTTTTTTTTTCTTCTTCTTTTTTTTTTTTTCTTCTTCTTTTTCTCTTTTTCTTCTTCTTTTTTTCTTCTTCTTTTCCTCTTTTTCATCTTCTTTTCCTCTTTTTCATCTTTTCCTCTTTTTCATCTTTTTTCTTTTTTCTTTTTCTCTTTTTTCTTCTTTTCTCTTTTTTCTTCTTCTTTTCCTCTTTTTCTTCTTTTCCTCTTTTTTCTTCTTCTTTTCCTCTTTTTCATCTTTTCCTCTTTTTCTTCTTCATCTTTTCCTCTTTTTCTTCATCTTTTCCTCTTTTTCTTTTCTTCTTTTCCTCTTCTTTTCATCTTTTTCTTTTCCTCTTTTCATCTTCTTTTCCTCTTCATCTTTTTCTTTTCTCTTTTTTCTTCTTCTTTTCTTCTCTTTTTTCTTCTTTTCCTCCTTTTCTTTTTCTTCTTCTTCTTTTCCTCCTTTTCTTCTTCTTCTTCTTTTCCTCCTTTTCTTCTTCTTCTTCTTTTCCTCCTTTTCTTCTTCTTTTCCTCCTTTTCTTCTTCTTCTTCTTTTCCTCCTTTTCTTCTTCTTCTTCTTTTCCTCTTTTTTCTTCTTCTTTTCCTCTTTTTTCTTCTTCTTAGGTATTTAGCAAATTCTTACAGTCCCAAATTTAGGTTCTACACGTCCAAATACAAATTATTTCATTACTGAAAAGTTCTATTTATAAGAAAATTATCCAATAAATTTCAGCCTCTGTTTTAATACCCCCCCCGCCTACTTGAAATTCAAGCGAATCGCATTCACTGGTACCTGTCTGATTGGAAACGAACGGCTTGTCAGTATTCTTTCACTATGAAGACGATACGAAGAAAACCCGTTTCGAAACTTTTTTTTTTTTTTTTTTTAATCTCAGACTCGCTTCCACTTAGGCTTTTTTCATGCCTTTTTCTCCGCTGACGGATTTATTTCCGGGGCGCCTGCGAAAGAGCAATAATTATTATTATTATTATTATTATTATCTACTTTCTTCCAGAGGAAAGTAAATGGCGAAATTCGAATCTAGTAGCAGTAACGTCTTATGACTATTTTACCCTGGTCTGGCAGAAGCCAAAATAGGAAGGTAGAGATACCTCGTCTCACTTTTGAAAATCTTTCTCTCTCACTGCTTCCCCTCTCACTTTTGAAAATCTTTCTCTCTCTCTGCTCTCACTTTTGAAAATCTTTCTCTCTCTCTGCTCTCACTTTTTTTATCTTTCTCTCTCTGCTCTCACTTTTGAAAATCTTTCTCTCTCTCTGCTCTCACTTTTGAAAATCTTTCTCTCTCACTGCTCCCTCTCTCAGTTTTGAAAGTCTCTCTCACTGCTCCCTCTCTCAGTTTTGAAAGTCTCTCTCACTGCTCCTCTCTCAGTTTTGAAAAGTCTCTCTCCTGCTCCCTCTCTCAGTTTTGAAAGTCTCTCTCTGCTCCCTCTCTCAGTTTTGAGTCTCTCTCACTGCTCCCTCTCTCAGTTTTGAAAGTCTCTCTCTCACTGCTCCCTCTCTCAGTTTTGAAAGTCTCTCTCACTGCTCCCTCTCTCAGTTTTGAAAGTCTCTCTCACTGCTCCCTCTCTCAGTTTTGAAAGTCTCTCTCACTGCTCCCTCTCTCAGTTTTGAAAGTCTCACTTTCTCTCTCATTTTAAGTCTCTCTCCCGATGACCGTTTTAAGTCTCCCTGCCTCGCTTTCTCACTTGTTGAGTCTAGCTGGCTCGCTCCCCGACTCGCCATTTTAAGTCTCTCTGCCTCGCTCCTCGCCATCTTAAATTTCTCCCCCACTCTTGAAATCTTTTGTGTGTGTGTGTGTATATATATATATATATATATATATATATATATATATATATATATATATATATACGCACACACACAAATATACATACATACATTTTTTTCTATTTGTCCCCATTGTTGTAATTTGCTTCAATTAAGTTTCTATGTTCGCTGATTTGCAAAGAATAGAAAATTTGTTGCGTTGCATCTCGTTGTGAACCAAACAATTTCCTGTTTTTTCCAAAATAGGACATTGACAATGGACTTTCTCAATGAGACATACCGACTTGCTACCCTACCTTATCCACGCCTGTGCGTTTCTATGGACGGACGCGGAGGTGCGGATAAGTTCTCGCTCCAACAAACACACTTCTCGAAATCTCAACAACAATTTATTTATATTTTGTTTCTCGTTTACGGGTTTCTTTGCTGGATCGAGGACCATTTACCATACCCATTATGGGTTCATTTGTATGTTTTGTATACTATTATTTTTAACCTTCGGTCAGTACTCGGTGGCATTGTCACAGCGAGGGCTGGTGCTAGGGTCTCGTAGCCTACTCTATGATATCTCAATTTTCATAAGGTAGTTTTAATATAAAATATTTTATTGTAACCTAATTATGTACAATAATGGATCATATGCAATATAGGTGACCAATTCAATTAGAAAAATTAAAAATAAATACAATGTATCTAACTAGAAATTAGAGACATGTCATAATAGTTCATCCCGTCTTAAATAAATCAATGTTTTGCTGTAATTTTTAACATCAGCTCTATATTTTCCTTGTTAAAAATTGAATAATTTGGATATTTTTCCTCGTTAAAAATTGAATAATACATTATAGATAAATAAAATAAATTTTATGCACTGCTTTTTTTAAAAATCTGTCTATATTTCTGAGATGAGGTATTATGTACACTATTTACATTATTCGAACTATTGTCCTCATCTTTGTTGCCATATTTATCACAACGTTTCGGCCTTTCAGTATTTGTCTATATTTCTGAGATGAGGTATTATGTACACTATTTACATTATTCGGACTATTGTCCTCATCTTTGTCGCCATATTTATTACAACGTTTCGGCCTTCTTCAGGTGGTCGGAATGTCGAACTTAACACTTTATTTCGCTCACTGGGGTAGACCGTTCTAGTTCTAAGTGCCATGTTTAATGGATGTCAATTATCTCCTGTTAATTTCCCTCTCCAATTTCTCCACTGCCTTAACCAGGTATTGAACTCACACTCCTTGGGTCCTGTCACTGGATCTAACTAACGCCTTTATCCACTGTGCCATGTGTCCTTTTTTTTTTCTCGTAGTTTAGTCTGTGCAAAACAAATTCACGGATTTGGACGAGCAAAACATGACTCTAGAATGGCGTGAAAATTCGCTGTCAGTTGTGCTTAGTTTTATTTGTAACGCATATAAATGTAGGTAAAAAAAAGAAAGTAAATGTTGATAAGATAGCGAAGGTCACAAAGCAATGCTTGCCACCCGCCCTTGGCCGCGGTTATTCGTGAGTAGTACGCACCGGCCCTAGTCACAGCAATAATACCTTGGGGTTTTCAAATATCCTCGCTTAAGTTATTGTGTTAAGACTGCTTTCCACTTCCTGTAAGATAAGGATTCACAACTAGGGTAGAATTATCCGCAAGGGGAGAATTTCACGGTTCAAGGAGAAAGGAAGAAATTCTTAAATTTTATTTTTATTTGCAGAACTGTTTTTATTGAATTCCAATACCCTGGCATTTTATTGAACTTTTTGTTTATTCAAGTCTGTTTTAGTTTATTTATTTAATAATTAGTTATGAATCAAAACAAATTACTGTGCATGCATTCCAGTTAAAAAAAAAAATAAATAGCCATCAACATTTTTTATTGTAATTAAATTTGCGAAACTCCTATAAAAATAATCCATATAAATGTTGGTTGTTTGTGTTCAGCAGTAGCTCAACCTATATAGGTAATTTAATGCCGAAATCTAAAGATTTTGTACGTAATTTTTTTATGGGGGTGGGATCGGGATAATGTTTTTCAAGTTTCTCATTGACTGTAATGTTCATCAGAATAAAATTGATTTAAATATACGGAGTTTTATAGAACTTTTTGTTTATTGAAGTCTGTTGCTCATTAAATTTGTAAAACTCCTCTATCAAAATAATCCAAGTAAATGTTGTTTGTTTGTATTTATCGGTATCTCAACCTATATGGGTAATTTAATGCCGAAATTTAAATATTTTGTACGTAATTTTTTTTTTTGGTGGGGTGCGGAGATGTGGGATAATAATGGTTTTCAAAAGTTTCTCATTGACTGTAATCTTCATGAGGATAAAATCGATTTAAATACCCTGAACTTTTTATTGAACATTTTTTTATTGAAACATGCTTATTTATTTATTTAATAATTAGTTATGATTTCAAACTAATTACTCTACACATACTCAAGTTTAAAAATCCATCAACATTTTTTATTGCTATTAAATTTTTAAAACTCCTCCATCAAAATAACCCATGTAAATGTCTATGTACCAATATGGAATAGAATGAAGATTTTCAATAATATATGCATATTACTTGGACAATCTTGAAAAGCAGGGAAATGACATTTCTGACATATGAAGAAAAGGGCCCATTGGATGAAAAAAAAAGGTTTAGAACTACTGATTTAGGAGGAGGACAACTGAATTCAAAAACTGTATATAGCCCTGAGACCAAATCACAGGTACGCCAGGCATAGTACCTGGAAGTCATCCTTATTTTCCAGACAGCAAAGGCATCAAAAGCAAATGTTGGTGATGGTCAATGGCAGAATCTAACAGACTAGATGTAAATGCCTATGTACTAATATGGAAAAGAATGAAGATTTTCAATAATATATGCGTATTATTTGGAATAAGTGCTAATAGTCTTGGGAAAGGTATGAATTCAACACTTCTTCCTCCAGCTATGGACAAATAATAGGGTAGACTTGGTTCTCTAGCCTTGGATGGCAAAACCGATTTAGGAGAAGGAAAAGGAATTTCCGCATTGACTCGATGATCCCGACTACGGCCGACACGTTAAAAGACTTGGTTCTCTAGCCTTGGATGGCAACCGGTCTAGGAGAAGGAAAAGGATCCTGAGAGGTATAATGGGCAGGAAGTAGTGGAGAGCCATTGTCGCCAACAATTTGGATTCAAAACCGACACTAAAGAATTTATCTATCCAACAAAAAAAAATTTATCAAAATCGGATGAAAACTGAAAATGCATAAACAACATCCGATCACACACACACACACATTTGAACAATGACGTATATATATATATATATATATATATATATATATATATATATATATAATGAAAAACAGACCACTTTAAAGGTACCATTACAATAATTTATTTCCCAAAATCCTTTTTAAAGGACTCCGGATCATCAGGTAACAATTCCAACAATGAAATGAAAGGAAAAAAATGGGATTAGAAATTGATGGGTAGTGTATTTTTTGTAATTTAACAGGGAGGGTGAGAGTTGTAAAATAACTAGACAAGGTAGAAATAGGAGGGGTTAATTTCATATTTCTCTTAAGCATGCTTTTATATTGGGGTAGGAGAGGCGTGACCGAATTTGACCTATTTATATGGTTACCTTAAATGATATATAGGAATGGGAGGGTAGTGGGGGAAAAAAGAAAAGGAAAAATGGAAAGAGAGAGGAGACTTAAATATATATATATATATATATATATATATATATTTATATAATCTCCTCTCAGAAATATAGATAAATGTACTGAAATTTAAAAAGTGGACTTATTTTCAAGACGCAATAGGATGAATCTATATAGAAGCAACTAATCCCCACAAAGCTAGACAATCTACAGTTATGTGTGTGTGTATATATATATATATATATATATATATATATATTACTCAAACCAGTTTCCGCATTTTGATTGTTACATTCATTACGCTTTGGCAGTTGTAACCCCCCCGGCTTTCTTTGGGTGTCTGTCGTAGCTGCATTTTTCGAAACTAACCCTTTATTCATTCTAGGACCAAATTGTCCTCAAAATGCTGTCTACGTTAGAGAATATCTTGTGTCAGTTAATTATTCCATTATTTAGTCCACAGGGGGAGATTGATGTCACTCCATGCGAAATGATATCTCGTGTCTGTTAATAATTTTTGTCTGTCTCTTCCACGGGACACATAGCTGAGTAGATGGAGGGGAAAAAACCCGGTAGTTAGAACGAATCTAGATGTCGAGTTCAATCCTTGGGTCGTCATCTTTTGTCTCGCTTCTCTTCAGGACATAGGCAATTATGGCTCACCACAACTCTTAGCAGTATCTGTCTATATTTCTGAGATGAGGTATTATGTACACTATTTACATTATTCGGACTATTGTCCCCATCCTTGTCGCCAATATTTATTACAATATTTATATTTCAGTATCTGTCTATATTTCTGAGATGAGGTATTATACACTATTTACATTTTTCGACTATTGTCCTCATCTTTTGTTGCCATAATTATCACAACGTTTCGACCTTTCAGTATTTGTCTTGTTATTTCTGAAATGAGGTATTATGTACATTTTTACATTATTCGACTATTGTCCCATCCTTGTCGCCATATTTATCACAATGTTTCGTCCTTTTCAGTATCTGTCTATATTTTTGAGATGATTTATTATGTACATTATTTAAATTTTCGGGCTATTGTCCTCATTTTGTCCTTAAAATTTATGCACAACGTTTCGGCCGTTGTACGCTCAGCCTTCTTCGAAACGTTCTGATATATATGGCGACAAAGATGAGG